AATTAAGAATATAAATTATATTTAATAAAAGAAAAAAACTTTAAAATTCTATGAAATAAGGTTATTTAACTCATGACGGAAATACGTTGCCACTTTTACACACGACGCCTATTGCGTTCTAGTTCATTAATCTATACGAAAAGAATACCGGATTAGTGATGCTATTTATGAGTGGCCAATGAAAGCGAATAGACACTTTCTATGTCGAATCGTAAAATGAAATGATTCTTGTTTTTGCTTTCCAGAATATTCAGTTACATTTTCCAATAAGGAGTAATCTTCTGGCGTTTTTTTCTTTTGCTGCATGAATTTCCGTAACAATTAAAAGTGAAAATACCAATAAAAGTAAATCAAATAAGAGAAAGAATCCTATTTTCGATCAAAGTGTATTTATCAAATTTGCAAATACATTTTTAATTCTATAAACTGCGAACCGATTAGATTTATCGAATTGAAATGCAATTATAAATTGAAGTTGGAAGTAACATCACAAATTACATAGATTATTTAACGGTAACAACTCACGATATTTTTCTCTAATTTTTTATCACAATGTTCGATACGATACATCAAGCATTGCGAATTATGCCAGTAATTTTTAGTAGATTTAAGTCCTGCAGAATAAATTCCAAGTAGAGAAAAGAGAGCAATAAAAAATAAATTTTACACAAATTTAAATTCGAATAAATAAGGAACAGACTTCCAAAATGCATTTTGTCCAAAATTTTATTTTTTGAGTTAGAGATGGCATAATGTTCAATGTTGAAAGATTCATATTTTAAGCTACTCTACGATGTTCTGAAAGCATTTCTTCACCATCAATTTATATGCTGAAAAAAGTCTAGACATTCGAAATGCATTATGTCCTTTAACTAGAGACAAATAAAATGCATTTGTTTAACATTATTAGAAATAGTTTAGCAATTTTGTTGAACATTTTATATCTTATTAATTGGCAAAATGTTATTTTCTAAAAGAACCGTGGTTTTCTTGTGGCTTTCTTCCCCGTTCTCTGAAAATTATAAATTTCGGACAAAACGCATTTTGAAAGTCTGCTCCTCAAATATTGTAGATATATTAATTTACTTATACTTAATAATCGCTATATTATTTGTGGGGAAACATAATTTGATAGTTTGTGGATCTATTATATTAGATCAATTATAAATCGTCATTCCTATTATAAATAAACAATGTGCGTTTACGCGTATCGCATTTGTGCGATTATGATCGATACTTTCTTTTACAACAAATTAAGTAACTCGAATTTCCCAGGATCAGTACCAGTGAAACCGAAACCGAATCAGTGTAAAAGTGCTCTCCACACATCTTGCCTTCTCGAAGTTGCACTTTCCCGCTTTAGCGTAGTTGTATTAACCACTTAACTCTTATATTTATACGCGCTTCTCGAAACTTTCTTCTGATATTTCCCGGAGATATATGAACGAAGAAAAAGGAAAAATCCCCTTCGTCATCCGGCAGTTCCAACACGCTGTTTATTCTATTCGTTTAATTTTATCTCGAGCTGGTTTTATAACTATATAAAAGAACATATCACGCTTAAGTGTTCTTATTTTCAATAATAATAATAATGCATCAAATCAATCAAATGTACGTAAATTAAACTGAACAGTATCTTTACAACACGGAAGAGTCCGAGTGAAATCGTAACATACGCCGCTTTGGATACTTATTACGCGAACTATAATCATTTATTTCGTAAAGTTTGCACCCGCCGTAAAGAAAAGCATAAAGTGATATAAGAGCAATGTATAACCGTAATTGCCTCGCGTGCAAGTACATTAACTGCTGCTCTATTCCGCACCTGGAAGTGTTCTGCGAAGAGTTTGGGATAAACGATACAAATTTGGATATGTCTTTCTCCATCTGTAATGTACTTATCAATATTAAATTGTGATGGTGTCAGAGTGAAAGTTGCGGAAGATTATACATTTAAATTCTGTGTTCAAAGCAGCGAAGAATAATTTGACTTTTATAATAATAGAAAATGATACCGTTTCTCTAATAAATAAATAGCATATTGTGTCTATTATTATCATTGAAATAAGCTCAAAATTACAATTAATTCGCATCGTAAATCTACGCAAATTACGTACATGTATACTTATATCATGTTTACAGTAGCGTTTCTACCGAAGAACTCAGCTAAAACCAATTTTGAAACGTGATACAGTAATTAAATCTTCAAATTTGATATCTATTTGTTACATCATATTTGCAATCATGATTTAATGAAGACAGCACAATCAGATAAAATTTTTCTCGAAACACAATTTGACTTTTATTGCTCGTAGTTTAATAATCGATGATTGAAAGAAGCTCATATGTGTTAATAGTTTTTTAATCTTGCAACACTTTTAGTGATTAATTAATTCCCGTGATTAGCAATTGTACACTTTGTAAATTAAATTATGATAATATTTTATTACTTAAAATTAATTGAACTTAATTAAAAGAAATAAATAAATTACAATTTAATAAAATAAATTTTATTTTATTAAATTGCTGTATAAGCTTATGAAAATAAATAATTATTTTTAATAAAAAATTACTCCGATGTAATCCTAAATTTCGATTTAAAATTTAATATCCTTTTGTTAGATTTAATGTAGTTAATTCTAATTCTTATTTCTATAATTGTTGTCAATTAACAGCCTTACCGGAACAATTAACGAGTAAAAAAAGATAATTTGATCAGCTAAAATGGTAGAATGTAATTGAAAATTACAATTAACTTCTTGTGATACGTACTAAAACCTCTTTTTGTCATAACTTCAATATCAGTCGAGTTCACTTTCGCCTCAATTAACACTGGAATGATATGTAATTAATCTGTACAAAATACAACAGCTAACCAACGATATTGACCGTGATTGTTTGACTAAGGAACGTCTGTTCTTTTCTGTAATACTATAAAAAGCAATTGATTGCACATAAGTATTCGTAATATATGGCAAATCTTTTAATTAACCACAATAAATGACATTGTGACATTAGATTGCATGTGAATTACAACTAAGTAATGAAAAGTATGTGATTGAAGTTTAAAGCGTTCGTGGGGCAAAAATTAAAAGTAAGCCCAAACTAAACAGATAGACAATCGACGATCACTCATACGTACTGCGTACATGTAACCGAAAATTTCCTACATTTGTTCAAGCGTTTGAAACCAAAATCTAAAAGTGCGAGAATAATGCAATGACGATTAAAAAAATAATAATATAATAATAATACGTGATCGTCAATTACCCGTTTAGTTTGGGCTTACTTTTAAAGGTGTATTAGACGTGCAGCAAAGAAAATTAAATTTGGAAGTATATGTTTAATATTTACACTTCAAATAAACTATATACATATGAAAGTTATGTGAATAAGATTATATTTTTGTTTAATAACACTCTTTTTTGTAGTTTATTTATTTTATTTGTTATTATATTTTTATTGTTGAAAATTAAAATTTTAAAAATAATAAAAAAATTTACATTTTTCTTTTATACACGGAGAGAAATCTGTTATGATTTTGGCACGGACAACCGATACTACTATCGCGTGGCATGTTTTAATGCGCTAATAGCGCCATCGTTCGATCGGTTTATGCATGAAATCGTGTAATCATAACACGAGGAATCTCGTGAAAAATGAAAAAAGAGATTGAAGTGCGTGCACTGGGCGTACCAGCTTTTTACGATAGCCGCACGAGCGCAGTACGCATAAAGCACCCTACTCCATGAAACTTTGCATAAATTATTTTGAATATTTAAAGTACTTATAAAAAAATATAAATTTTTTATTTTTAAAATTTTAATTTTTAACAATAAAAATAATAATAAATAAAATAAATAAACTACAAACATGTGTTATTAAACATATGTTATTAAAAATGTAATCTTATTCACACAATTTTCATATATATATGGTTTATTTGAAGTATAAATATTAAGCATACTTCGAAATTTAATTTTCTTTGCAGGAACTATACGTCTAATACATTCTTAAAAAATTTAAATTTTTATCATTTATTTTATAATTCATTTCCATATATTTTTATTAGAACACAGATTAAAATATATTACTATTAAAATAATTTATGATCCAGATAGTAAGCCGTCACCGAATTTGTCGTATTATTTTTAAACGTGATTTAAAATAATTTGTAATTTTTTCATAATTTTGTTATCATTTTGAAAATATGTATAAAACATCTTTAATTTTCACTCCACGAATGTTCCAAACTTCAATCACATACGAAAAGTTCTTATCAGTCTGGGTGAATCTTACAATAATATTTAAAATATATCGGTGTGAATCTATATACAATACATATCCAGTTCTGCAAATTACGCGCCAAAATAATTTTCGGTTTTAAAACGCAATCTTAAACTGAAACTGGGATAATAATCACAAATTAAATTGGCAAGCAATTTAATGAAATTAAATTTATTTTAATTATTTTTTAAATTATCCTCTTTTACTTGTTAATCATTTTCTCAGTGAAGCTGTTAATTGACAGTTATTATAAAAACAAGAATTAAGATTAACTACCTTAAATTTAACGGAAAGATACATATTATTAATTTTTTAATCAAAATGTGGAATTAGGTCGGAGCAAAATTTTTTATTAAAGACAATTGTTTATTTTCACAACATTACAATAATAGCGCTGAGAACACTACCGTGGCTCCAGATTCACAGCAACAATATGATGAAGACTATAATTCTGTCAAATATGCCGAGTGCAATGACAATATAAATACATATATTGCAAAGATGGCATAAACATACGCGTTCAGGAATAAAAATTTCATACAATGTAAATGAATATTCCTTAAGAGAAGGCAATACAAATGTTTCTTTACTTTCTTATATTAAGTTATTAGCTTTGTATTAAAAGGTTGAACTTAATCTTATTTCTTTGCGATACATTCAACGCCTAAATCTTATATTTTTTTCGATTATTATTTGAACTGAAAAATGTCATGATCGAAGTACGAAGCCTCTGACAGCTACATCGTTATTTATGTCCAATAATAATTCATTTCTATAAAACTACATCTTTTACATCTATCAGTGTTCGGTACCTTCTTCTATTGGCACCGCGACCGGTACCTTAACCGGATAAGGAACGGGTTTTTCGTAGTAATACTCGATTGGCTTGTTCACGTGAATCGGTACAGGCCTCTCTATCGGTATCTTTACTGGTACAGGTACAAACTTCTCTACGATATACGGTACCTTTTGTTCGACCAAATACGGCTCCGGTACCGGAACATTTACCTTGACCGGCACTGGTTGGTCTACCGGAACTGGTACTGGTCGTTCCACCCTCACTTTAACCGGAACCGGCACCGGCTTCTCAACGGGATACGGAACCGGCTTCGCGATTGCTACCGGATATGGTTTTGGTACCGGAACTGGTACAGGTTTGTCTACCGTGACCTTTACAGGATAATGAATGATTTTTTCGACCGGATAGGGCTGAGGTACACGTATCGGTACCTTCACCGGCACCGGTACTTTCCGTTCTACGGGAAACGGTTCCGGTACTGGAATCTTTACTTCATAATGTATTTTTCTCTCGATGGGATATGGTTTTGGGACATATACCTTGACCGGAATAGGACGATCCACCTGTACTTTAACTGGATACGGAACCTCCTTGACGACCGGCACCGGATGTGGAATTTTAATAGGAACTTTGACAAAGACCTTTACGGGATACGGTATTTTCTTCTCGATCGCGTAGGGCTGTGGAATCGGCACTTTAATCGGATACATTATTCTTTTGATCACAGGATATCGGACAGTCTTTTCTACAGGGTATGGTACCGCGATTTTCTTTACGATCGTAACAGTTTTATCGTCGTTTCCTGATACTTGGTAACCATGTATGCTTTGTCCACTGTCTCCTCCGCTATCCAACAATTCAACACCAAAATTTTTTTCGTATCCATCTTCAAGCTCACGTTTAAAATGTTGAACATGAGATCCTGAAACTGAATAATTATTTCTCGAGTTAAGTTTAGTCTAATAAATTCTATATAATATAGATTTTTTTATATCGATAAACGAATGTGTTATTTTTTACATTGTAAACTTTATTAAATAAATTTTATTAAAATACTTACATTGATTATCTTTAAACTTCTGTTGTTCAGTTCTGAGTACATTTGTGTTGTGAATATTTCCTTTTGCGATATAATTAGCTCTATTTTGTGTTGTGTGGAAAGGTATAATTTGACGAATATATCGTGTTGTGGGAAAATGATCATACTTATATATGCGTCTATCATAGTTGTGAATAGGAAAACTCATTGCAGTGGCCATAAAGAGTGGCAATAAAAACCTCGCGTATCTCTGCAAACAGTAAAATCCAAGCGATGTCATGAATTTCTTCCGAATTTTTAAATAAAAGCTATTTAAAATATTTCTGCATTTCTCATATTTCCAGTTTGAAAGCAAAAATGTTACCTTTTAAAAAAAAGTAACGTTTGCCATATTTTAGTACATATAAATTATTTGAATAAGATACAAACACTAAATAAATCATTTTTTAATATTTCTATTAAAAAGTAAATAAAAAAATTATTTATATTTTTTTCTAGAAATTATATTATTAAATTTAAAGCACGTAACAAGTAAACACATTTATGTTCTATTTTATTCAATCATTTCTATAACAGAGAAAAGTTTAAAATAGATTTTTCTTATTCTTAAAATTTTTTTGGTTTTTTGAAATAATTAATTCAATTATTTTAACATAATTATAAGTTTCAATACATAAATCTATACTTTATAAAAATAATATTACAAAATTGTGAAAAAGAAAAAATGAAACGGATATATAATAAAAAATTATTTTATATTATGCACTTTGTTGCACTTTAATGAAATTTTCACATAAACATTATTTTTGCTGATACGAACACACTATTTAAGAAGAAAATTTATACAATATATGACACTGTTTAATTTTCAACACTCAACACAGCACTGAATGTCCTAACAACATAAAATGGCATACCCTATGTCTCATCTTGAACGAAATGATAGAACGATCTTCTGTCTAGAGACAATTTCTTCTCTCTTCGAGCACGTTGCTCGAGTTAACAGTAAATAAATCAGTCGTATGCTTTTACCATCTTATATATGTTGCTACCAGAGGTGTGTTACTGATCTAGAGGCTGTGCACGCGATGTCTTCTTCAAGAGGGGATGGATCACTTTCGCGTTTCATTATATTCGCACGACGAAAGTGAAAATTTTTTACAACGAGAATTATCTAGAAAAGCACCAACACATGCTGATTTTAATATGTTTGTCTATAAAGAGAATGACATTGTTTCGGTGGCAAAAACCGTTCACTTTTTTAATGGAATGTTGACGTTTTCCCAGAGTGGTTCTTAATAATAATCTTGAATTGTTGTCGCATTTATTATGTACATAATTGGAAAAAATGTGTTGAATTTAATATAAATCGCATGTCCCAAACGGTCCACTCAAATTTTTGAGTTAATTTTACACAAGATGAATATGTTAAAAGGTAACACAAATCTTATGTAAGAGAATAAATACAAAGAAAGATAACATCGATTGTAAACCGTAGAAATATATTCTTTTTTTAGAAAATTAACATTTATGATATGTTAAATTAACACATATTTCATTCATTTGTCTTAGAATTTACGTTTTAAAACTCATTATTTTTATGTTACTCGTTCACTTATTCATAAATCGTGTCATTTTGACACTAAGAAACATTGAATATCAATTTCATAAAAAATCTTTAAATAACGTAATCACATTATGTTAAATTAACACTCGAATATGTTAAAAAATTCAATACAAACTGTTAACACAAACGTGAGTAGACCGTTTCCAACGCAAATTTTTTTACTATGTATATAAAGTAAAAAAATATATATATCTATTATTTAAAAACATGAATACAAGAAGAAGAATAAAAATCAAACATAGAATTAAAAAATATGATTTTTAAAAATCATATTTTTGTATCTAATAAAAATATTTAATTCAATAAAAACGATTTTTTAGAAATCTGATAGCAATCTGAAGCGATAAATCTTTAATATACCAATTATATAAACTGTACTACGATCCTTATCATTATTGAGTTCTATGTTACTTGTTCGGATGCGTGACGACGTCTTTACTGCTGGAAACATAACTGGTCACTTGAAAATGTAAATATGACTACAAATCCGGTGAAGTAAACTTCCCCGCTACGCATCGCCGCTTCGCTAAGATAAGCCGTCATATGCAGAAAGTGAAAAGTGTCAAAGACCTTTTCACGTTGACGCGATTATGGAAACTTGCGCAAAAAGATCGGACAACCTGTTCCACGTTGTGATCGTTAAAAATAATTTATCAGCACTCCTCCAAAAATCATAATTAACAGTATTTCGTGACAAGCGCATAAATTAAGAGGCGTAGTGAATTTCGCAATTATGATGAACGTACTCCGATTAATTTCGAATTACATAAATGTTTTGATTACACAAGTATAAACTACATCTACCTTTACTTGAGAGCAAGAGAATTATCTAATATCGATATTAATAAAATTATATAAACCATTTTCTTTAATGTACGTGAACTCGTTTCTTACTGGATTACTTATTGGACATCTTAAGTTATACGGTATCTATCCTCGTTATCTGAGACGATAATATCGTGCAAGGAGAACACATCAATTATATAGCCATGTAAAATTATGTAGTTACATAGATTTTTGTTCGTAAAAGAGATAAAGAAAAGATAACAGTAGTAAAATGGCGCGATATTGCAATGGATCGCATTTTTTTGCAATCGTATATGAGTAACTCGGTTATTCCATCACAAGGAGAAATTGATGATCTCATTGTTTCACATTGTGCACACATCGTTTTGTATTTTACAGATTTCGCAGTGGACATGCGATTCGATTTTCATTATCGCCTTTCAACGCGTTCGCGTGTCAAATATTTGACGCTCGAAAGCAAGCACATTATCGCGATAATTAGTCGTACAGTCCACACGTCATTACCCGCGATTTCGCGAACGTCATTTGCGAATTTTTCATGATGGATCGCAAAAACGGAGAGAGAGTTTTGGTCAATCAGACGGGTCTTTTGTCGAAGATGCACAAGCCGGGAGAAACGCGATGCGATGCTTTCAAATCTAATTAACATTTTAACACGAGATTGCAGTTCGACGCTTTTTCGCACGACATGACAATGTCATTAAGATTCTTTGGAATAAGCACCTTCGCGGGAATTTATTGTATCCGAGGACGAGGAAGTCGAGAGCGGAAGTGCGAACGGAGCACTTTGAAGGTGCAGCGCTTCGTGCTTCCGGATATTTAGATTATGACATAAATACACAAGATCCGTCAAATGATAAAATGAAGGAAGAAGAGTATTATTGCGCGCAAATACGAATGTAATAAGAATAAATTTATTGGAGTCTCCGTTTAGGACTTAGGATACGCTTTTTAAATCACGTGTCGACGTAGCAATCACTATAATAATAATAATAATAATTTCCAGTCTCACACACGTGTAATAGCCGTCTAGTTGAGAAATCAGTCTTGTGAGACTAATCGTACGGTAATAATTTATATTTCAATATACTTTTCAATCATGTGGCTGTTTTACACGCCGCGCTTAAACTCTCAGTTCTTTCGATGTACGCCTGAAAACGTTCGCCACTAACATCAACAACTTATTTATTAGAAGAAAAGAGATGATTCGTAAATCAATGATTCGTAACTTATTAAATGCGATATTTACGGATTAAAGCAAATAAGCTTCGCGCGTAAATCTACCTTCGCAATTAATGTTTTCTTAATAACGGCGGAACTACATATTCATGCGCTCGTAAACTTTCTTAACATCTTTAATATATAGATTTTGCCTTCACTCTCATGATCGTTGCGTTATTAGATACGTACTTTCTAGCGCAAATAAGGCAGTAAAATATTAGAGGAAAAACAACAAAAAAAATGTTTTAATTACCTGTATGTTTATTATTTAATCTTTTGACTTTTATGTTTCTGTTATTATTACTAATTGCGTGTAATTATTATATCACAAAAACTTATCATTATATCAAATTACTATTATTAATAATCGATATACGTCTTATTCATGATTTATATAAAGGAAAGGCTATATTATTTCGCTTCAAACTGTACCAGCCGCAACTTATGATAACGCCAGTTTATATCCTAGGTTGAAATTACAATTGTCGTTCATTATTAGCAATTACAATAAAACGCCCCTATACAAATGTCGATCACCGAGAGTACGAAGTGGATCATGATACGTTCGCGTCATTACTTTCGCTTATCATGGATCATATTCTCACAATGCAATTTAAGGCACATTAATCTTGAATACGAATTGCCGCTTAAACATTGTCTACAGTAGCTACAGTCGATATTATTTCTCACGATATACATTCCAGATAATCATCATGAGTCGTAATAAATTAAGGTATCTGTAGATAATAGTAATACAAAGTAAAAGATATAAGATCGAATTTTGACGAAGAAATTAGGCTCATTGTTCTGTTTACAATAAAGTACTAATAATAACTAAACAAAAATAACTTTTAGGCAATAGTTTACTTTTTGTATAACAAATTTAGTAATAATAAATGTTTTGTTTAAAAAAATTAGATTTTGAGTAAGCTGTTTGGAGCATGAAATGGACTCTTCCATATTGTGTAATTTGATAAAAAAAAGGTAATTTAATTTAGGAAATGTGTTAAATGTCTTTGTATTGTATCAGCAAATGTAAAAATGACTAGCTGCTTTACCGGTTACCGTCGTTCAAAGCAGTTCAAAGAAATACCGTTCCTTTCGAGACTCTCTTTCTGAAGAATGAAGATACTCGTTCAATGTTATCAAGCATTCAACTGTCTTTAATTTAATTTTTAAACATTAATGACTAATAACTTATATAAAAATATTGAATATTTAATTCAAAAAACGTCACGAAATAATAATTTAATTGGACGCAATTAAGATGTATTATTTAAGTCAATTTAACCTTTTACGTTTAAAAGTTTTGTTAACTTCTAAAAATCGGGATATCTTTAAAATTATTCTTTTTTGATTGCGGTATTTAATTGCCTGCTGCGTGGGCAGTTCGTTTCAAAGATGATATTATATATAAATGTCAAATAACTGGCTTGAGATCCTCTCACTCTAGCTCAATTAGTGATAGGAATAGGTGACAGGAAATTTCGTAACGGAATTACTAACCACGAAGGATAAACATAATGATGGCAAAATTTAAATTATTAGTTTGGGTAATACGATTTTATTTTAAAAATGAAATTCTCTTAGAAATTCTCTTGAAATTAGTAAATTAAATATCATAATCCTTATTGGAATATTTATATGTATAAGGATAATTATATACGAAATCTGATCTGTCTTCTTTCACACCAACGATCATCAAAACGATCGAGAATATTTAATCTTCTGTCATGATTAAATGTCAAGTTAAATATTTATTGAAACGAAGAAGAGTTCTTTAATTTACGTAAAAAGAAGAAAGCCTTAAACCGTGAATATAATAGTCAAAGCTCTGACATTTAAGCAAGCTACCAACCTTCTCACGTTACGCTACGGCGTTCGTGATCTTAAGACTTTACGGAGCGCAATATTTTTTAATGAAGGGCAGTGATGTCGTTTGCGCTCCGCATAATTGTTTAGATGGAACGGTTTCGCGAGTCAAGGCGAAGAGGTGCGGCGGGAAAGATAGAGGAAGCGAAAGGACGCCGGTGGACCTGGAAAACGGACGAAAGGGGAAGTAGACTTCGCGGTAGCGTGCGATCTTTCTCGGTACGACAAGACGATGGCGAAGGGGAGAGACTCTTACTTTCAGCCTCGCGTGCGCTAATGGCGCGATTGCATAATCGTTCCCGTGCTCGTAGCGGAGACGAGCATGTAAGTCGTTGCTTCAAGTCGTGAGTCAAGTGGCAAAGCCAACGTGCGTGCTCCGACCAAAGTGGGTCGTGCAGAAATTAGTCGCGGATGCATTGGCTTCACCTCCGACAACGGCACCGCAACGGCGCCAGGGGAGCCTCTGCCGCA